TCTGTGCTTTTAAAGGCCCTTTGCTTTTATTTGAATGGGTCCTTGGAAGGGAGGCAAATAAGCACACGCCCATCCTCTTGTTTTATACAGAATTTTCTCCATTTATTTCCCATACATATTTAAAATACATGTACATATTTGTTGATTTCAGAGAGGAAGGGAGAAGGAGAGAGAGAGAAACATCAATGAGGAGAGAGAATCATTGATCGGCTGCCTCCTGTACGCTTTAGGGCTCTCTGCCTCTCTCTCCCATCCAACCCCCTCCTCCTCCTCCCTCCCAGGACTCCCCTCCTCCCTCCCCCTCCTGTCCCACAGGACAGACACCCTGCCTTCCGTCGCCAGGCCTTTCTTGGTGCTCTCTCTCCGAGAGACATGGGCTCCTGGAGAGACCTTCCAAGCATCAGATGCTCCATCACGTCCTCACGTAGCTCAGGGAGACGTGATGAGGAACGATTTCTAATTTCTCCCTTTTACCCCTTAGTGGCTCCCAACTTGGCTGCGTGTTCGAATCGCCCAGGAGATTTTCAAAGGCTTAGCACCCTGCTGCAGGCCCCACTGCGTCAGTGTTTCTGGAGGCGGATGCTGGTGTCAGTATTGTTCTAACACGCCCTCCAGGTGAGTGTGGTGCTCGCTCTAATTCAAACCCCGAGGGGATCTTGTCAGTGGGTGGGGTGGGGGCTGTGATGCTGCTGGTGGTGGGACACCCTCAGCCGGGGAGCGAGGGCATGGGGTCCCAGCGACAGGGCACATAGTAGGGCTGAAGAAGTGCTTGCTGAGTCAGGTAACTGCCTGGTGAACACGAGGAGTAAGGGCCATATGGGACAGCGCCCATGCGCACACCTCACCGTCGGGGAAACTCACCACAGTGTTAAAAGTCACTGAAGGTGCCTGGCTGGTGTGGCTCAGTGGTTGAGTGTTGACCTATGAACCAGGAGGTGACGGTTCAATTTGTGGTCGGGGCACATACAGGCTTGATCCCAGTGTGGGGTGTGTGGAGGCAGCGGAGCAGTGATTCTCTGTCATCATTGATGTTTTTATCTCCCTCTCCCTCTCCCTTCCTTTCTGAAATCAATAAAAACATTTAAAAAAAAGTCACCGGAAGTGTTTTGAACAGCAGTCTCTTGTTACTGCAAAACATCTAGGTCAGCTTTGTGGCCGGAAGGAACTGACACGTTACCCCCCTCGGGCATCTGCAGTTCACTTGTTCCCGGGGGACGTTTAAGAACAGCGGCCCGGAGGGAAGTGAGGCCTTCTCCACGCAGCGGCCGCAAGTTCTTAAGTCCGATGGCAGCGCCTTCCACCCAGCGCCCCTCACGGGATGTGGTGCTGCCTGCACACTCCCGCCCGGACTGCGAGAGGGTGAGGGGTGCAAGGTAGAGGAGCTGCCTGTCCCTGCAGCTCCTGCCAGCAGGCCGCTCGTCTGTTTCTAGAGCAGTGGTTCTCAACCTTGGCTGCACATTAGAATCACCTGGGAATCTTTTAAAAATCCTGATTTCTGGGCCTCATCCTCTGGAAATT